AGCCTATTCTGGAGAAGGTGGATGAGAGAATATTTGCCTTCCTTGCAAGTGAGACAAAAGTGGATGTTGCCAAAGCGCAACTATAAGGATTAATGACATGGTGCTGGTTGCTGACGCAAGAATGCCAAGAGGACAATGGCCGTTAGCTCGCGTGGTTCAGGTGTTTGCAGATAAAGCAGGATATGTCCGCTCTGCAAAGGTGCGGACCTCTGCGTCGTGTTATGAGAGACCCATTACCAAGCTCTGTTTCTTGGAGGGAGATGATCGGGCACGTCCGGCTCGTGAAGGTATGGACNGCTATAGTATTCTTATGCACAACTGCATAGGCAGTAATTATATATAATATATATATATATATATATATATATTATAATATATCTATATATATTGCGTGATATATTGGTTATAACTTGCATATTTAAAAGTGCTTCTAGATAGTTTACACTTTCAATTCTTTTAAAACCATATTGTGGTTTGTGCTTGTGGATTGTATATGAATTGCAAATCTTTTCATAATGTTAAGCATGTACTTCGCAGCTCCACAGTAGAAATTAATAAAAAGATAACTTTTGGTTAAGGCTAGGAGATTAAATTTTAATTGACATAAATTCCTGTACATTAATTTAATGTTTATAATAATTTCTATATCGCGTTTTGTCTACCTTGCAAGTGTGGCTAAAAATCATAACGCTGCACTGAACCGTGGTAAACCGCTGCAGCGGCAACTGTGTTGAAAACATATTTGTAGCTACTAGTATGAATTTCACTGGTAAATGGAATTTTAGTGATTTTCGTTACAAGAGTTGAATTTTGTGTAATGACCCTACTAAATAGTTTCAACTGTTTGTTTACAATTATGATGTCAGGCCCTCTGCTCCTTTCGGTCTTTGTCATTATTTACTTTAGATAGGATTACAGATAAATATTTGTAACAGAATTATTCATTTCAGTGCAATTGGAATTTTCAATGATTCCTGTTACGGAGTTTTGAAGTTTCGGTTAAAGTTGTAGACATTAAATAAGCTTTCAATAGCCCTCCCCGCCCCCTCACGTCATTGAGAATGTGTACATTAGCGGCACTCTGGATGGATTTTGTTTCAATTTCAGGCATCTGCAAAATGCTTTGACTAATAGTGTAAAAGGCCAATGGCACTTTAGAGATCATCAAGGCGACCGCTGCTAAGAGAGAGCAAGCCATTGGAGATAAGAGAGAAAAGATGGCAACACGGCGTGGAATCTAAACAAAGTTAAAGTTGTTAAAAATATGAGCGACCAGACCCCAAATCGTAAAGTGAGAAAAGATGGAGAGTGCAATTATCACAAGCAGAAGGCAGATAAACGAAATGCGAAAAGATTGTAAACAAGAGTCTCGAGTTATGGGCTGGTACAACTCCGACCCGTCCACACTCCTTATTCTGATGAGCTGAATTAGAAATAGAACCTGCCCTGGCACTTGCAACATGGCTTGGTCACGACAGAAGAAAGAAAGCGCGTACGAGAGTAGCAAAGGGACCGCACTGGTAGTATAAAACGATTAAAAAGTTAAAGGAGAGTTTACTGCTAGTCTAGGGTTATTTTCAGCTAATTTAGGTTATAAATTACGCTATGCATAAAAAGTTTTCATGGGTTCAATCACGCTTAGAAATATTATTAAAAAATGTTTTTAAAACTAGCAACTACAGTTTTATACAACGACGGTGGCGCCCACCAAAGAGCAGACGATCTGACTAATTGCGCAACCACTTTCCAAGCCAAGGGCTACAGGACCGAGGGTGTTTCTTATATTATTATTTAAAAGCACAAGATGTTAATATCTTATAAACGACATAAGGTAGTTTCAGTTTAAAATTATGGATAATTTGGCCCTAAAATGAATATCGTTCGTTAAATAGCATTTAGGTATAAATATAATTTGACCTTTTGTGATTTAGAGCCCCTCGGTCTGGTAACGTGCAAAAATCAATTGTCAAATACGGCAACTTTTCGGTGTGGCAAGCACAATGCGGGTGTCATGGGCGCCGTTCAACATTTCGTCAGCGTTGGTGTAAATAATTATACAATTAAAGTAGGTATCTGTAACAAATAACGTGTGGGTAATAGACGATTTTGTTATACAGTAAGTATAGTTGTATGCAGTAAATCTAGCGCTACTGTCCTTTAACAGCAATGCCTTTGAATTACAAAAGAGGAAACCGAGCGATTGAGAAAGAAGTAGAGCAAAATAAGCTGAAGGTTACCATCCCATGCGTCAGGTTAATAAATGGAAAGAAATTCCTGATGGTGCAGCAAATTCACCCGAGGAAAAGAGCTCGTTTCGCGTTGTAGAGCATATGGTGCCGGAGTCCAATGACCAGAAGAAGGAACCTTGGTCTTTCACTTTGCTGTGTCTGAAGAACGCATAGATATATATGACGGCCAACGCATGGATTTGCCAACTCCTTCACTTTTCCCAGTGTGAATTGTAAGGGCGAATTTTAGCTGTTTTTCGCTAAGTCTGAATATACAGAGGGCGCACTCACGCATGTAATACATGACTGGTAGTATTTCATACAGCAGGTATGCGCAGGTGGCGGGCTGACAGTATGGAGGCTGGAGGGTGAAATGCAGGCACCATGCCACAGTGGCAAATGTTTAGTCAGTTGTATTCATGTAACGCCATGTGAAGTTACGGTAGCCATAAAACATGTAAGTCATAGTCTTTCATGCTCATAATACGATACTTATACAGTCTTCATTTATGGTTAAAGGCATGTATAAACGAATTTGTTTACTTATCTTTACATTGTTGTTTGAGCTGGAGCTTTGAGTATGTTATACTCGCACTGGTATAAAAAGTATACGATTTCATGTAATAATCGCTGATGTACCGGAATATGGGAATCATTTGTGAATTACAGCCAATGCTAAAGAGTAACGTAATAAAGGCTAAAGCACCACACCGCTCTGAGAATTTACTACTAGGGTACAAAGTCTATGCGCTACAGTCATAGCTTCAGTCTACGCACCAGGTGGCAGCAAAAGTTTACATGCACTTCTGTTAGTGCTGATAGCGATAGATCTGATGCGCCGCGATCTTCAAGATAGATAATAGGCTTAGTAGTACCCAACGCCAAAACGTTACAGTACGGTAGCTGTAATAGATTTACTGTCATAGAAATATAAGGCCTTATACGCAAATGACAACTAAATATACACTCTGGATCAGTACCATGAGTACCCGGTGTCGCCATTAGCTGTTACCCCCTAGGCTTTCAGATATTGAAAAGTACAGGAGGACTTACTATGACTCCCCTAGAACGAGCCATAGGGGGACTTTTCAGCGCTCCATAATCAGCACCCTAAGGGCATGATGGAGAGCTCCATTAAAAAAATCACAACCCTTAAGAGGCATGATGGCAGAGCTCCGAAAAATCACACCTTGAAACGGTCTCCATTCTTAAAAGGTCTGCCATACGACGAAGGCGCAGTGCTACAATTCAACGGAAGAGTTTACTCTAGTTCTAGGGTTACTTTTCACTAATTTAGGGTTTAATTACGCTACATAAAGTTTCATTGGTTCAAATCACCATTAGAACATATTATTCAAAAATGTTTTTAAAAACTAACGACTTACAGTTTGATTAACAACGATCGGTGGGGCGCCACTCACAAAGCGCACGATTCTGATAAGTTGCGGCAAAACCACTTTCCAGGCCAAGGGCTACAGCCGAGGGTGTTTCTTATTTTAATTTAAAAGCTAAAAGGATTGTAATATCTTAATAAAACGACATATAGTTTTCAGCTTATAAATATGGCATAAATTGCCCTAAAATGCAATATCGTTCGGTTAAATAGCATTTAGGTATACAATATAATTGCCACTTTTGTGATTAGGCCTCGGTATGTAACCTGGCAAAATAAATTGTCACTACGGCAACTTTTTTCAGGGTGGCAGCACGGTCGCGCCGTTGACATGGCGGCCGTTCAAAATTTCGTAGCGTTTGATGTGTAACATAATTTAATAAGCAAATTAAATAAGGTATGCTGGTAACAAATACGTGTGGTATAAGAACATTTGTTATCACAGTAAGGTAACGAGTTTGTAATGCCGTAAAATTCCTAGAGGCTACTGTCGCCTTTAAGGTTTTTTTTGGGTTGTCCGGAGGACCAAACGCAACGAGCCCCAAAGGGTTGTCCGCTCAAGAGTTTTGGTTTCCGAATAATTATTTAAAAAACATGTGGCTTGCATTCGCTCTGCTCACGTGATATGCTCAGTGCTGTAAAGCAAAAAGGCCTAATCATGTACATTTGTACGTATTGCCAGTGACCAGATATATAGCATTAAAGGACTTACCTGTTACTATGGAAAACAATTCTGTTCCAGCAAGCGCCAGTTTCCCTTTTGCTCCTTTCATGTTTATTTGGGCCACAACTTTGTTGCTCATTATTCTGTAAAAACGCAATAATAAAACGAAGAAAAACCATTAACAATAATGTATTAGATATTTTTCCATATTCGGAAATGCTATATGAATTTTAGGAAAATTTTCAATCATAGACCACATGCATGCATGCATAGTTTGATGTTTTACAAGTACAAATTTTTATTTTATAACTTGAATTTGAAGTTAACACTGAGTAAGTGTTACCCCGTGAAATGTCTCCAGGTTATAATAATAATTAAATTATAAGTATATATACCTGTGTAACACCTTATTGACATTGTCTCTGAGGCTCACCCCACCAATTCTCGAGAGTTGGGATATCTAAAAGCAGAAAATATTAGATATGCGATTAAAATACCCCTAACAAACTCACTAAAATGTTATATTTATACAATCGTTTATCAACGTTTTATAGTAAAGGGTTTAAGATATTGATTATATATATAGGCACTGTTTTCTTAAATTTGTTAGGCAATATTGTTTTACCATATCCTATAACTAAATAGTTTTACATATGATTTTAATTTCTTACAATATTCACATTCTAAACAACACCCGATAAAGGACGATTTCTCAGCATGTCATGAATGTTGATTCGGAAATTGGACTAGTAGCTCCCTAAAATTGTGCCTGTGTACTAACCACCAACTGTCGATTCTCGGGCGTTTTCAATTCTTTCTCCCATTGCATCAGTGCCTCGAGTGTTGAGACTTGCTCAACGTGAAACTCTGGCTCCTCTGGGTCCTCATGACTTTTAACGTTCTTCATCACGCTGCGGATTTCACTCAGCATGTAGAGGACTTTTCTTTGAAACTCTGAATGACAAAATAGTATTCTATATATATTGCTCTTCGTGCAACGTACTATCACGATATGTAATATTAATGGTGTATGTACGACACACTGGCTAAGAATGTATTTATTTATAAAACATTCATATTATATATTTTCACATAAAATATCGATCATGATTTTTGGCATAAAAAGTACTGCCAATATGAAATATATCCCTACTCTAGCTAGGTTTTTGGAGCTTTTCGGTTTTCAGAATTTCGGGTAATATAGATTGTGTACTGTGTATCATATAGTGACCTACTTGCATCCGACATCGGAAACGCAGTAGATCTTCGGGTACTGGCCGGGCTCTTCTGTGTGGCGCTGCCTGAGGTGCTTGTCTGGGACATGGGCTTTCCCAATAAAGCTTTCTTTGGTACCAGCTGCTTTCTCTTTTTTGCTGGAGGAGAGGTTAACTCAGCACTTTCTTGCAGTGGTTCTAATGTCGATTCAGAAGGAAGCATGCTGAGGATTTCTTGTGGATCGGATTGCTCCGATGAAGTCGAGCCTCCGCTTGCTTCCATCGATTCTAAATGAAAGTTCTCAATTAATGCATTACATATATTTGATATAGACTTCTTTAACTTTTCCTCGATATCATTTCGTTTAAAATTTCTTCCACAAATAGCTATTTATATTATATTTATATTTATGTTACCATTTATATGATTTAGAAGAAATGTGTTTTTTAAAGTTTCGATCTTTGTACACTATGTATCATCCTTTTATATTTAAATTGCTGCTTATTTAAACCCCATCAATTAATCAAGCATACCTGTTACGCAGTCACTGAATGTTTTCTTCCTAACCGTTCGCTTCAATGGAATCGGCTCTTCATCAGAGCTGACCTCTGTGGTAGGGACAGCTAAATGGATGCAATCCTTCTTATTCTCTAAAATGTGTACAAATTAATTGCAAGTGGGTTAAAGAGAATATATATATATATATATATATATATAGGAGTCATAGACAAAATTTGTCAAATGCAGCAAATGGTTATATATAGCTGGAGCCTGGGGTTATAAACATTGATATGCTATAATGATGCTAAAATAACCAAGTATTTACATACCAAAAATAAAAGTACCAAGTATAGGCATGTAAACCAGGTACGCAGGGCTACCCTTGTCATATCCGACGAATATACCTTTCACACCCCTGCTATCTAGTTTCCATCGCAACCTGTCTGTAGACATAGCACTCTACACCGAATACATGCATTTTGGATAGGTCAGGCTTGCGACCTGTCATCGCAAAATACGGAGTTTGCTAGATTCGTTGATTGTAGCATCTGTTTCTAATGTGTGCTGCTGCCATCACAGCATAGGGCCAGAATTCTCGGCCCAACTTGGCCTCGGTTAACACACATCTTACCCATCTCGAACAGGGTTCGCCAATGTCGCTCGGCGGTTCCATTTTGGTGTGGGGAATATTTTTAGCCTTACCAAACAATTGTGGCAACATATCTGGCGTGCGCGTTCTAAACATTATTTCAACCTGGAGGAACGCAACTAATTCCTCATCCACCTCTTGTTTTGCTATCTGGTTATGCCCAAAGAACCATGCCTTTAAGTGTCGGACTTTCGTCGGTTCTTCACTTCGTGTTAGGCCTTTAGCTAAGGCCTTTACCGGTTTATCCAACACCTCGGGATCGTCCTTGAGGCCACCAACAAACTTAGTCAACTCACTACTCGGCCCAGCAAAAGGAGGAAGCATCTTCTCCATTTGCTTAGCCGTTTCGGTGGACTTGGAATTAGACTCATTATTAACTACACGAGCACCAACACATGCTGCATTTCCCTTAGCCAACAATGTGTTGCCTCGTATAGCCAACAATTGAGCCACCAACTGATCACAGCTGGATTTTAAGCTTCCGGGCGAACTCAACTGCCTCGTCCCCATGGACTTCTCGGAGCTCTCGGAGCCACTGCTGGACGGTGATGTGGTTGAGTCCTTCGACAAACATGGTGAACTCCCAGGAGAGGTTGAATGTTTCCTCTCGACTGTACAACCGCCAGAGCCGCTTGATGGTCCTTCTTTTGGCTGCACCCATACCGCGCCTCTGTTTGCGCGGTACCTTTGCCACCGCCTCAGTGACCTCCGCCGGCGCGATGGACTGCGTTTCTTGGGGCCCACCCCAGGCCTCCCTGGCTTCTTGAAGGTCCCTGTAACTACCACACTCCCGGATAAAGTTTGCTTGGCTTTTCCGTGATTTTGTTGGCCACCACTCTGGCAACCCACTGGCTCCAAGCTCCTTTTCGAGGATTTGTGGTCTAACATTTGGATCTCTCTTAACCCGGACAACAAACGCCTCCATCAATTACTTACGGTAATGAATCGGTAGCCACGCTACCATACACATACATCTATACACCACGCAAACCACCACCAATACTATACTACTCGCGCATCGCGGTTACACGGACGATCGCAGTAGATTCCATCTCTGTCATCTGGCTGGCTGGCTGGTGTGCTGCATCGCGGGATGTGTCGCTTCGCTCGGCGGAGGCTGGCTCGTCTGTCGGCTACGTATCTCGTCGCTCGGGCCGCGTCCCGCAGGGGAGTCTAGCTCGTACCCGTCACACGCTCCGGTCGTGGAGGTGTGCTCGGGTCGCTAACCCTGGAGTGGACGCGGACAGCATGCCGACAGCGGTGATCTTCACGGCAACTCGGGAGCCATCACGGCGGCGGGGTTTATGACCCGATCATGGTGCTCGATGTCGTTCACCGGCTCCTCCGGTGAATCGTAGCCGGTGTCCCTCCGGTGGCCCGTGCGGTCCTCGTCCCACTCCTCGCGACTGTCGGCGCCGTAGTTGATGTGGATTGCAAACGCCTTGAAGCTGAAATGCTTAGGTGGTGGCGCCCGGCGGACCCAGAGATACTGGCACTGGAATCGCCAGCAACGCCACACCTCCCGCCAGGAAACTATGGCCGCGTACCCAGCCGGGATGACCAACACGTCGTCCTGAATATATAATCCGGCAGGCATACGGTGGCTCGCTAGGGGTGAGTCCAATAATGGCTCAAGAATTTGGGTGTGGTCAGCTACGGCTTCCGCCTTCCACCATCCCTCAACCTCGTGTACGCCACCCGGTGGTGGCAGCGGCACGATGCCAAGCCCGAGGGACGCACAGGCAGTTGCGGACGGTAGATGCGGTATAAGTGTCGACTTGTACTTGGTTGCTACCATGCACGCGACGACATCTCGCCTGGAATTAAGCAGATACCACATTACCGCGACGTACTGGGGAAGCGTAAAATTAGTATGCTTCAAAAATGGGTCGTTATCGAGCGAGCGACCTATATGCGCTGACGACGCGTTCGTCTCGCACACGAGTTTGACGAACGCGATCCATGGCGTTCCGATCGGCAGGTAGAACGGGTATAGCGTATACCGCGATACCAACATGTCGGCGACTTCTTCCTCGAACGGGGTGCACTCGTAAAATACCTGCAGGTCTGCAACAAGCAAACAAATTCGCGACGCATTTGCGAAGCGCGTAATAATTAATACCCGTTGCAATACGATGATAAATAAGTGTGCGCCTTAACCACTGCGCCTAAGCGTGCTTACTGTAGCACGTCTAAGCTATAGCATATTGTGTATATGAACCGCAAAAATGCGTGATCTATCCATGTCGCGCTTGAACACCTATATGCTCAGCGTACGTTGGCACACACATACATGAATAACTAATTAATTATGCAAATCGACAGCTGTCAGGAGCTGATAAGTGAGAACGCATAGGTACCGGCGGCCACGCGGCAATTTGTCGCACGTACACTAAACCCCAGGCTTTCCCTCCCCCCATGGCTCCCCATTCAACGAATAAACGCAGGCGCTGTCTGCAGATCAGCACCCGCGAGTGAAATAGGTTCCAAGGCAGGTATAGTTGGCGGAGGCTCTAGCGGACGCGACGGCATAAATGGCGCGGTAAGCGGCACCTGACGCTCATCGTTTGGCTGTGCCATTTCGCGGGCCAGCTGTCTGAACGGAGAGCTCGACGCCATAATTATGCGACCTTCCTCAGGCGTCTCCGTCTGTTGCTCCGGCAGTCTAACTTCAGGGCGTCTCCAGCGGACGCGGAGGGGTGCGTGTCGTCCAGCATCGTACTGGGGTGTAGATTTACAACAACGGTAATAAAATATAAACCCTCCTACCAGCAGCACAGTTAATGCCAGGAACAAATAGACAACTGTAGAGTGCGGCGTGACACCCAGCTGTGAGTCCAGAGGGCGTAATACGTATCAAGCCGTGGCAATAATCATCCATCTCTGCTATGACGCAGTAACAATTCTCGTCTCGCACAATAGGCTATATATATCTATCAGTCATACTATACGTACTAGGGTCAGAAAATGTCAAGTTTGCACTGTACAGCTGTACAACTCGACTCTATTTTGAGTTGAGCGCTTTGAGCGGTCCCGAGGAATGGATTTAGCACACAGACACAGAATGAATATATTATTATAATAATAATATGTAGATGAAACTGTAACTGGTCTATACTTACATGTACGGAGCCACGTCTTCACAACCGGATACGACTTCCACGCGGTGGTGGTGGTGGGGGGGGGGGGCCCCCATTCCTTGCGGCCTTGTTAACCCACATCACAGGCCAGAGAACACACTGGTTGGCCTCAATATACCACCAGTTTTCTGGGACCACTGCGACTTCATTCCCATCAATTGATTTTGAAAATTCGACTACAAAATACTCGATTGTACACTATCATCAGTTGTACTTTCCACCGCATGACTTGGTCCTATGCAATGGGCTCCAGTTTCCACTTGATTGTTGTATTCATTACGACATAAATTTGAATTATCTTGAATTGCTTGAAGGCTGTGTTCTACCAAACGCCTACGCTTCCTCCACAGCGACGAACAAGATAAACCTAAATGAGTCTTGGGCATATCCAATATAACTAGGTCTACTATAGCCTTAAAATGATCTTCAGAAAATTATGTTTTTGACTACGAAGTCTGAGCCGCACTAATCGCAGCGCGTGAAAGCTTGCGAGGGGATCAGGTTTCGAAATTAGTGCCGACCCAGAGGCCCATGGCAACCAAGTTTTTGCTTCGGTCACCATCTCTACGAAACTGCCGGTCTTCCTGACCAGCACTTTCTCCCCTCATATTACGCTGAAATACTACGGAGTACGGTTATCGCAACGGCTGTTTAGACAGACTTGTAAATGGGAGCGCATTCTAATACGCTCCGTTCCTGAGCGTAGACGGGGTATCCAAAACATCTAGACAAACGACAATCTGGACTTTATTGCCCATCCCTAACGTTATTTTCATGATTGCCTGTACTGGACAATGCACTGAAAGATGCGATTCAATCGTTGTGGTGTAGTGGCACGGTCTCTATTCACAACCCAAGGCCTGGCTGCCAGTTCAAGTTGCATCACTGTCCCTCGCTTATGTCCTTGGGCATGTCACTTTACTCTTTGTCTGTCAGATGAGACGTAAGACTGGAGAATGTTTTTCCTGTGTAGTGCGCACACGGTCTCAAACCTGGGCTGCCACCGTATTTTTACCCTATACGCTAAGCGCGAGACCAATAAGAAAATCATCACTGGCCTGCCTGTCGTTAAGCCATGCAGATTCTTGGAGGAACTACCAACTACCAAGACTGCTCCTGATGTGGCTTCATTCAAAAATTTAATTAACAGCAGCAAAGAGATTGTGAAGAAAAATTAGGTCATCAAAGTGCTGCATGATGACCTGTACGTGTATAGCGAGACCAGGCGATTAGTACAGTATCAGACAAGACAAGACAATGTTGTATGTCCCGTGTGCAGTTCGCAATACCGTACAGGTAAAGGTAAAACATCCACAATTATTCAAAAAAAGAGTTGCTGCGTTAGCTGCAAACTGCTACATAGGCTATATATACTATCTAGTGATACTACGTACTAGTGTCAGAAAATTTCAAGTTTGCGCTGTACAGCTGTACAACTCTGGGAAATTACAGGCGTATAGACTATCTCGAGTTGAGCGCTTTGAGCGGTCCCGATGAATGGATTTAGCACAAAGACACAGAATGAATATATTATTATAATAATAATATGTAGATGAAACTGTAACTGGTCTATACTTACATGTAC